GAAGCCTCCCAGACGTCCGGCACGCCGTGCGCCCCTGTGGCAAGCCTCAGGGTGGCGGCGGATCGAAGACGCCTACGGCGAATCACCGCCGCCCCCTGCCTTTTTGGAAACGCCGATGTGGCCGAAAGTTGGACTAGAGCTTGGCCAAGCTATCGGACCATGAGTTCCCCGAGTCGGTTTGGAAAGCTTTCGGGGAACACATGGGAGAGAATGATTATGAACAGGAAGAGGAAGAGGAATAAATAGAGTAGGAGGATGAGGGTTGTTAGGAGTCTCTTGGGGCACCCTTGGGGTCTGTTGGGGGCTTCTTGGGGGCCTCTTCGAGGCCTCTTGGAGGCATCTTGGGGGCCTCCTTGGGCCTCTTGGGGGCCTTTGGGGGCTTCCTGGGGGTCTCTTTGGCCGTCTTAGGGCGTTCCTGGTCCGTCTGACGCCGTCTGGAGCCGTCTTGGGGGCCTCTCTGGGCCGTCTTGGGGCCCTCTTGGGGCGCTTCAGGGCCGTCTTGGAGGCCATGTTGGGCGTCTTGGAGGCCTCTTGGGCCGTCTTGGGGCGCTCTTGGGGCCGTCTTGGGGGGCCCTTGGGCCGTCATAGGGCCTTCTTGGAGGCCTCTTGGGCGATCTTGGGGGCCTCTTGGGCCGTCGGAAGGCCGAAAAGAAGAAAACGCAAAAAACCTTCAAAAACCTAAGGAAAACCAATGATTTTGGCCTCTTCGGGCTCTCCTGGAGAACGTCTTGGAGGCCTCTTGGGCCATCTTGGAGGCATCTTGGGGCCATCTTGGCCGTCTTGGAGGGCATCTTGGGCCGTCTTGGAGGCATCTTGGAGCCATCTTACCCGTCTTGGAGGCCATCTTGGCCGTCTGGGAGGCATCTTGGAGGCCATCTTGGGCCATCTTGGCCGTCTTGGAGGCCATCTTGGGCCAAGTTGGGGCAACAAAGGCATTGACAGACGGATTTTGGGAAAATTACGGGTGGCCGGCGGGACGGGCCGAAGCCCACTGGGGAGTTCTTTTAGAAAAAGAACCAAAACCAAAACCTGAAACATCCAGCACGCCGTGCACCCCTGCAAGCAGGGGGCGGCGGATCGAAGACGCCTACGGCGAATCACCGCCGCCCCCTGCCTTTTTGGAAACGCCGATGTGGCCGAAAGTTGGACTAGAGCTTGGCCAAGCTATCGGACCATGAGTTCCCCGAGTCGGTTTGGAAAGCTTTCGGGGAACACATGGGAGAGAATGATTATGAACAGGAAGAGGAAGAGGAAGAAATAGAGTAGGAGGATGAGGGTTGTTAGGAGTCTCTTGGGGCACCCTTGGGGTCTGTTGGGAGCTTCTTGGGGGCCTCTTCGAGGCCTCTTGGAGGCATCTTGGGGGCCTCCTTGGGCCTCTTGGGGGCCTTTGGGGGCTTCCTGGGGGTCTCTTTGGCCGTCGTAGGGCGTTCCTGGTCCGTCTGACGCCGTCTGGAGCCGTCTTGGGGGCCTCTCTGGGCCGTCTTGGGGCCCTCTTGGGGCGCTTCAGGGCCGTCTTGGAGGCCATGTTGGGCGTCTTGGAGGCCTCTTGGGCCAAGTTGGGGCAACAAAGGCATTGACAGATGGATTTTCGGAAACTTACGGGTGGCCGGCGGGACGGGCCGAAGCCCACTGGGGAGTTCTTTTAGAAAAAAAACCAAAACCAAAACCTGAAACGTCCAGCACGCCGTGCACCCCTGTGGCAAGACCACAGGGGGCGGCGGATCGAAGACGCCTACGGCGAATCACCGCCGCCCCCTGCCTTTTTGGAAGCGCCTATGTGGCCGAACGTTGAGGCCAGACCTGCCAAGCTATCGGACCACGTGTTCCCCGAATCGGTTTGGAAAGCCTTCGGGGAACACGTGGGCATCTTGAAGGTCATCTTGGCCGTCTTGGAGGCCTCTTGGGCAAGCTTTGGGCGATCTTTGGGGCTTTTTGGGCCGTCTCGGGCCAGCTTCGAGCCAACTTCGGCCATCTTGGTGGGTTCCTGGCACGTCTGAAGCCGTCGGAAGCCGTTTGGGGGGCCTCTATGGGCCGACTTGGGGCCCGCTTGGAATGCTCCAGGGCCGTCTTGGAGGCCATCTTGGGCGTCTTGGAGGCCATCTTGGGCGTGTTGGAGGCCTCTTGGGCCCTCTTGGGGCCCTCTAGGGGCCATCTTGGAGGCCACTTGGGCCATCATGGGGCTCTCTTGGGGGCCTCTTGGGCGATCTTGGGGGCTTCTTGGGCCGTCTTGAGCCGTCGGAGAGCCGAAAAGGCGCAAATGCCAAAATCCTTCAAAAACCAAGGGAAAATCAATGATTTTGGCCTCTTCGGACTCTCCTGGAGGACCTCTTGGAGGCCTCTTGGGCCGTCTGGGAGGCCTCTGGGGGGCCTCTTGGGCCGTCTTGGGCCGTCTTGGACTCTCTTGGGCCGTTTTGGAGGCCGTCTTGGACCATCTCGGGCGGACTTGGAGGCCATCTTGGGCCATCTTCGCGATTTTTTGAGGATGTCCGGAGCGAAACGGCCGTTTTTGGGCATTGACAGATGGATTTTGGAAAATTTGCGGGTGGCCGGCGGGACGGGCCGAAGCCCACTGGGGAGTTCTCTTAGAAAAAGAACCAAAACCAAAACCTTAATCATCCAGCACGCCGTGCACCCCTGCAAGCAGGGGGCGGCGGATCCAGTGGCCTTCGGCCCATCCCGCCAGCGTGCCTGGGTTGTAGGTCCGAGGCCAGAGAGCCTCCAGACGGGGAGACAGGGAGAAAGAACGGGGAAGCCAGCGACATCTCGCGCTCTGAGAGCAAATGCGCTTGCCGTTCCCGTGCCAAGCAGATCCAGTGGCCTGCGGCCCATCCCGCCAGCGTGCCCGGGTTGGAGGTCAGAGGGCCCCCGGATGCTTTTGTGAGGGCGGGGAGGTCGGAGGCCTCCTGGATGCCAGTGAGGACCTCCTGGAAGATCTCTCGGGTGCCTCCTGCAGGCGGCTCTGGGGGTGTCTTGCGGCGTCTTGGGGGCTTCTTCGGGCTCGAATGGGACACCTCGGGGCCTCTTGGGGGCCGCTTGGGGCCTCCAGGGCGCAAATCGGGGTCCTGCGGGGCCATCTTGGGGCGGAGGGCTCAACAACATGCCAGTTCGCGTTTCCCATCTTGGGCCCCTCTTGGGGCCGTCTTGGGGGCCTTTTGGGCCCCTCTTGGGCAGTTTTGGGGTAGATATTCGGCGCCTGTTGGGGCGCCTTGGAAACTCTGACGACCGAAAAGACGGTAATGCGAAAACCATGCAAAAGCCATTTCGTTTTGACGATTTTGGCTTCTTGGGCCGCCCTCTAGGGCGTCCAAGAAGACTCGAGAGGCGCCCGAGAGGGCTCCAGGACGGTCCCCAGGGCCATTTGAAACCATGTTGGACATGCATATCCCGAGCACCGCGCTCCTGGCCTCTCGAGAAAGTCTCGCGGGGACCCCCTAGGAGCGCGCGAGAGCGCCCAAGAGCGCCACCCAGCACCCGAGAAGCGCCCGGAACTCCGTGCGGTGGGCCCCTCACAGAATATTTGCAGGACTCTCCTCCCTCCCGCCCTCTGCCCCGCTTCTCGGTTGGCTGGCTGGACTTGGCTGGCGGCCGCCTGCCGCCTGACCTGCTGCCCGTGGCCAGGCCTGGCCGCGGCGGCCTCTTTCGGCTTGATTTTTTGATGAATCAAGGGCTTCGCGCCACTGGCGCGTCGGCAAGAGGCAAGGCCACCAGCACGCCTACCTCTTTGCAGCCTTTACCTGAGGACACCCCAACTCGTGCCTCAGGGCACGGTGGCGGCTTCAGGAAGCGTGCTCTCGCCTCAGTGCCGGCTGCATGTTTGGTCCGGACGGCCACGCTCTTCGGTAACAGCTAGGCTGATTGTGCACGGCCGTGCTCTGATCCGCGTAGCCGGCCTCCTGCTCCTCGGCCCACCTCTTCGCCTTTGCTGCTATCATGGTACTTTGCTGGGGAAACTGCTCGATTGCTGTTTCCTCGGCGTCACCCAACATACTGAAACGATGTGTGCGTCGCCACCCAGGGGCGGCGCACGCACCGAGAAATCTTACAGCATATGCGTCGTGGCTGGTGTTTTTTGGCCACGCCGCTCGGGAAACGATCTACCACAATAAGGTTATAGTGTATGTTCGGCTCAGACGCGCGCCTCCAAGGAGGGCTGATACGGGAGAAATCCCTTACTCGTAGTTTTAGGGGTATAGAGCTATTGGGCTATATGGCTATGGGGCTATGGGGCTATAGTGCTATGGGGCTATAGGGCTGTGGGGCCGTAAGGCTATAGATATATGGGGCTATAGGGCTATAGGGCTATAGGGTCATAAAGGGCTATAGGGCTGTCGTGCTGTAGGGCTAGGGGGCTGTTGGGCTACAGTGCCATGAGGCTATAGGCCTATAGGTCCATATGGCTATAGGTTTTTCGTGCTATAAAGCTACAGGGCTATAGGGCTATAGGGTTCTTGGGCTATATAGCTATATGGCCATAAGGCCAGGAGCCGATGGGACTATAAAAGCTATAGGGGTGTAGGGCTATACGGCTATAGGTCTATAGGGTTTTAGGGCTATAAGGCAATAGGGCTATGGGGTATAGGGCGATTTGGGCTATTGGAATATAGGGCTCTAAAGCTATAGGGCTACAGGGCTCTACGGCTATAGGGCTGTCGGGCAATAGAGCCATAGGGTTATAAGGCTATAGGGCTATAGGGCTATGGGGCGATAGGGCTATTCGGTTATAGGGCTATAAGGGGCTATTGGGCTATAGGTCTATGGGGCTCTAGGGCTATAGGGCTAGAGGGCTATAGGGCTACGGGGCTATGAGGCACCCGGGCACCCGGGCACCCGGGCGGGCCGCGGAAATCGGTGACAAGCCTCGCCTAACCATATGAGTCCGCTAGGACCCCTACAGAGGCAAGCTCTGATTGGGGAATGCAGTGCTGGCGTGTCTCTGTGCGGCCCATTTCCGCCGCGGCGCGAGGACGTCGGGAGGCCCCTCCCCCGCAGCCATTTTGGCTCTCAGACGCCCCCGCCCCCCCAGCGCGCAAGCCGCGGGGGCGCGGTGATGCGTGGGCGGTGATGCCCTCGGACGGCGGGTCGGACGCCGGCTCGGACTTCGTGGAGAGCCGCCCCGCCGCCGCCCCCCGGGGGTGTTCCGCAGAGGGCCCCGCCCTGGAGGGTCGAGGGAGTTGCCGCCCCTGCTTCGGCTTTTTTGGGGGGCGGATGTACGCCGAGGGCGGCCCGGCGGAAGCGGGAGAGGAAGCTCGGCGGAGAGCGGCGGATGCAAAGGGTGCGCCCGTGAGAGATGCCAAGGTTTGGGGCTCGGGGTTTCCGGAACCTGCCAAGTGGGGTCCGAGTAGATGGGGTCGGAGGATCGCGCCGCATCGCCGGTGCATCGGCGATGCGGCTCGATGTGGAGCCTGATTCTCTCCACGCCGACGTCGCCATGGCGACGAGGTCCCAGGATAGGGCTCACTTCGCCTCCTCCGGCTCGGCTCGATTTCGATGGGTTGCTTGTCGATTCGAGCTCGGATTCCGAGCCCGATTATCTCCACGCCAGCGTCGCCGATGCTCAGGAGGGGGAAAAGCACAGACACAATCAATCGTCGATGCCCAGGAAAAGATGGGAAACTGTGGGAAGTGGGGGGGAAGACGAAAACCCAGAACATATGGGGCGGTATGGGGAATTCAGGAAACTGTGTCCATTTATCTGTGTGCCCCTGGGCACCTTCAGATGCATCGCCGACGTCGTCGACGCACCGCCGAGGTGTCGACGACGCAGCGGCGCTGCGGCGCAGATCTCCGACCCCAGCGGCTCGGGCCCTGTCTGGGAGGGCCTCCGTTCTCGGCCTCGCCGCCGCGCGCTGGAGTTTCGCACCATTGCCACGTCGTGCAGCGCATGGTTCGAAGAAGGACACTCGACGGAAACATACGCTTTCGGAGCTCCGCGCGGACCGTCGAACATTGTGTTTATGTTTTTTTTTGTTCTTCCTCTAGCGACTGCGAGTGCATCGTCGCATGGTGTGCTGTGCATGCGGGCATGCGTTCCCAGAGATCCGACGCTCCAAAAAAGATTGGAGCGGCGGGATTCAATACCAGTTTTCGGCCTCTTGGGGGCCTCGCCGGGCCTCGGGAGCGTGAAAGAGCGACTCAGGACGGAAAACCGGCCCCACGGAAGCGGTCCGGTCCCTCGTCGCCCACGCATCGAAAACATTGGAGCGGATGGATGTCTTGGCTTGTTGTGCTCTCAGTAGCCGCCTTGGCTCGAAAGTCTTTCGATATGTTTCAGAGCCCAGCAAGGTCAAGCAAGTGCGCAATCACAGCTAGATGTTTTTTTGTCCTAATGGTGCTGGCCATTGTCTCCGTTCCCTTTCAGGAGCGAAGCGGAGACGTCAGAGAAAAACAGGATGCCGATAACGCTGCTCGTCCTGGATCCGCCCCGAAGCTCTGGCCAGAACGCGCTCCCTCTACAAGTCTGGGTAACAGCGGTGTCGGTATCTCCCCATTCCCCCAAGACTCGCACGAGTCCACATGGGTTTCGAGAGAGCGTGTCGCCGTTTCCGTCCGCTCGTCCTCGTGCTCCCCACTGCCTCTTCCATCGTTGCCCGGCATCCTCGCGCCGCGACGTCATCACGTCTGAAGGTTTCTGTTCTTGTTCCCTGCCTCCAGGGGCCGCAGTGCCGTGCCCCGGGTGCCGTGAACAGAAGCACCCGGGGGTGAGAAGCTGGGCCTGGGAAGGGGGCGGCTACGCGTAAGAGTGACCCTTCTCCAGAGTGACCTTGAGAGGAGGAGGAGGAGGAGGAGGAGGAGGAGGAGGAGGAGGAGGAGGAGGTTCACCTCTCTCTTTTTTTTTCCTTGTTGGGCCTCCTGGGAGGCCCAAAGAAGCAGAAACCAGGGAGGATGCCCGCGCGGGCGACGTCCTCGCGCACGGAGGGTGCCCCCGAGACCGCCACGAAGAAAGCCTGAGCGCAGGTCAAGGAAACATGCCGCGCCTTTTTTTTTTTTTTTTTTTTCTTCTCTCTCTCTCTCTCTCTTCTGGGGGCCTCCCGAGAGGCCCACGTCGCCACCGCTGGACTCGCCTTTGGAAATTCTGGTTAGAACGCACCACCGGGGAGGTCCGGGGAGTAGCGATGTCGGCACCTCGTGGTTTCGCCAGATCTGGTGCGAGCCCACAGGGAAAGCAACCTGTTTCGAGGCCCGAAACACGGCACGTCACTAATTTTGGGCCCCAGGGCCCACTCAGGCCCCCAGGGGCCCCAGATTAGTGAAGTGATGTTTTTTCCCACGTAAGGCCTCCGAATTTCACCACTTTCCTAAACCGAGCCCAGGACGAAAGTCTGGGGCCGAACTGCTGCTGTGATGCAGCATAGGTCTCGCACCTGTGGCGCAGCCCAGGGATCCCGCAACCCATGGGTGGCACAACCCTCAGGAGGGAAAGAAACGCACAGACACAATCAATCGTCGAATGCTCAGGAAATATGGGGAAATATGGGAAGTGGGGGGAGGAAAACAGAAACCCCCAAAAATGGGGTGGGGAATCCTTTTATTTGTGTGTATTTATTTAATCGCTTCGCTCATTCCGCCGGCCCGTATTGGTGCACGGCTGTCGGGTGCCCGTGTGATCGTTGTCAATGGGGTGCTGCTGGGTCGTTTTTTTGTTTATGGATGTCTGGCTCTGGGTGATTTCGCAGGCAGAAACCATTCTTTGCCCTCCTGAACCTTCTGTTTCGGAAGGTGGCGGCTCGTGAATACGATCGCAGGGAACAAGACAACATTCTGCAGTTTCCTTTTTGCATTCTTCGGGCCCCTGTGTCCTGGGGCCCCTTCAAACCCGCCCGCCAGTTTCCGCGGGGCCGCGCCCGATTTGGTGCTCGCCGCTAGGGCCCGCGACACGGTGCTTTTCTCCGCCCCTCGACTCACGAAGCCCCCCCCCCCCCCAGCAGCAGCAGGAGGGGAACAAAACACACACACAGACGCAAGTGATCCTCGATGCCCCCAGGAAATCTGGGGAAGTACGGGAAGTGGGGGGGGGGGGAAGACAACAACCCAGAAATTGTAGGAAAACATGGGGAATCCCTTTACTTGTGTCCATTTCTTTGTGTGCCCCAGGGCCCCACCCTCAGCAGAAGCAGCGCTGCACGAGCACGGACTCGCGGACCTCCGCGCGGACATCTCGGGCCGGTGCTGCATGCACCCCCTGGCGCCAGAGGCGCCGCATGGGGGCTCCGGCGCAGATCCAATACATCCGCGCGGCAATCCGACAGTTCCTTCTGCATATACATATGTGTATATATATATATGTATGTATATATGTATATATGTATATATGTATATATGTATATGTATATGTATATATATATATATATATATATATTTGGATATATATACATATATATATATGTATCATCTCCTCTCTTCTCGCCTCCTCCTCTCTGTGTTGTACCGCCTCTCCTAGATATTTACTTGTTCGATCGCCCTCTCGCATTCCCCTCTCCCCCTCCTCCTTCCTCTTCCGCATCCTGCGCGCAAGGACTTGGATCGCTGGAAGTATCGGATTCTTGAATGTCAGCGCAAATTCTGCGGATAATGAAGAGGTCATCAGGCACTGATGTTGCCCTTCTCTCCCTCTTCTCTCTCCTCTCCTCCGCCCTCGAAGCCCGAGCCTGCTTCTCACTCCCCCCCTCCCCGGCCGCTCTGGCCTTTGAGGAGGGGCGCCTTCTCGACGGCTTCCTGGTCCTGGCGCAGGCGGGCCCGTCCTTCCCGGAAACGGTCCCGGCTAGGGAGGGCGAGGGGGAGGGAGAGGATCAGGGGCCCCCAAACGCTGCGGTGACCACACCCTGTGGTGAGTCCGCGGGGATTCGGGCCGGACGCACGGCCTGTACGGTGACGGACCGTGCGGTGAGGTCTTTTGGGATTTCGTGGTCACCGCCTTGTCTGTCACCGCACCGTTTTGGGACCCCCAAGAGGATGGAGGAGAAGGATGAGGGGGAGCAGGGCGTGGGAGAGCCCTGACATCCTGGCGCATCGAACTCTTTGGGGGCTCTAGACTGTTGTAGCTTCAGCTTGTGATTAGCAAATGATCGACCCCCCCCCCCGGGGCTGCGGAATAGACACCGCCTGGCGCGGAACATGTTTTTTATCACGCCCGCCAGGGGGTCGTCGCGGGCGCCGCCGAGGGGATCGTGTACCCCCCTGCGCGGCAGCCTCAAAACGATTACCCTTCGTATAGAAGTTTGGTATAAGGATTGTGTACATCCGAGGCAAAATTTTTCCCCTCGCCTCTGAGGCTGATTACTGACGTGTCGTTGTCGTCGTCGTCGTCGTCGTCGTCGTCGTCGTCGGCTGCAGACGGCCTACGCAGCCGCGACGTCGACTGCAGACGGCAGTGCGTCGTCGTCGCCGTCGTCGTCGCGTCGTCGTGGTGGTCGTCGTCGTTGTCTTCGTCGCCGTCGTCGTCGTCGTGGTCGTCGTCTTCGTCGTCGCCGTCGACAAAAGCGGGCAGCACCCCTCCCCCCCAGTTCATGGGGCATCCGAAGTGCGTCCTCGTCGTGGTCGTCGTCGTCGTCCTCTCCGTCGCCGTCTCCGTCGCCGTCGCCGTCGTCGTCGTCGTCGTCGTCGTCATCGTCGTCGTCGTCAAACGCAGCCGGCCTACGCAGCCCCCTCAGGGCATTCGCAGCGCGTCGTCGTCGCATCGCCGTCGTCGTCGTCGTCGTCGTCGTCGTCGTCGGCGTCGGCGTCGGCGTCGGCGTCGGCGTCGGCGTCGGCGTCGGCGTCGGCGTCGGCGTCGTCGTCGCGGCGTCGTCGTCGTCCTCGCGTCGTCGTCGTCGTCGTTTTTGTTTTCGCCGTCATTGTCGTCATCGCCGTCATCGTCGTCGTCGTCGTCGTCGTCGTCATCGTCGTCGTCGGCATCGCAGCCGTCGTCGTGGTTGACGTCGTGGTCGTTCGTCGTCGACTAGACCAAAGCGGGCCTACGCAGCACCCTTCCCCCCCACTCATGGGGCATCCGCAGTGCATCGTCGTCGTCGTCGTCGACAACGGTCATATGCAGTACCCGCGCCTCCCCTCTCATGGGGCATCCCCAATGCGTCGTCGTCTGCCGTCGCCGTCGCCGTCGTCCGTCGCCGCATCCGCCGCCGCCGCCGCCGCCGCCGCCGCCGCCGCCGCCGTCGTCGTCGTCGTCGTCGTCGTCGTCGTCGTTGTCGTCGTCGTCGTCGTCTTCGTCGTCGCCTTCGTCGTCGTCGTCGCCGTCGTCGTCGTCGTCGTAGGACATTGTAGTGAAAGGGGGGGGCAAGGAGCAGGAATAGCCCTTTCCTCCTGCCTCTGCCGTTCCCCCCTCCTCTTCAGGTTTTTGTTTATATCCATGTCGGCTCCGCTCGCCAGCTGGGGCGCGTGTTGCCCCCGCCTCCTTTGTCTCCCCTGTCTGTGGCCATTTTGGCCCAACCGCCCCGCCATAGCAGAGGCGCTGCTGTCCTCCTCCGCTGAAGCGGCGCCGCTTGCGTCGCGCCTGTCTCCCTCATGCTGTTTGCCGGGTGTCGGCGCGCTAATAACAAACGCCGCCGCCGTGTGTTTCCATTTGGTGGGCGCCCCCCCGCGATTCGCCAGAGCAGAGGAAGAACTTGTTGAGTCCGCGCCCCGCTTGTTTTTGTTAATCACCCGGCGCGGCCGCCGCTTCTTCGGAGCGCTGCGCCTGCCGGTGGCTTGGACGCCCTTGGGTTGTCGCTTGCGTCGGCCGCTTGGGGTTCCTGGCCTGCCTCCCATCAGCCATGCCCCTGGGCCAGCTGGCCCGAGGCGCGTGTCAGGAGGCACCCCTCTGCCACCCCGCCAGGAGCGCTTGCGCGTCCGCTCGGGCTGCCTCCAGGCTGGGTGCCGCCTGGGCCCGCTGCCATGCCTCCGGCTGGCGCCGGCCTTTTGGTGTTTCCCCGCAGCCCGCCCTGAGGCGGGGTGCCACCCGCCCTCGGCTGTGATGCGCGCGCCGTCTGTGTGCGGGTTCCACTGCCCCGCTCCCGGCGCTCCGTCGTTGCTGGGCCTGCGCGCCGCTTTGGGCTCCGGATGCCCGCCGCCTCGATGGACGGCGGCCTGGGGCCGCAGCCGGCTACCCCGCTACCCGCCCTCTGTGCCGCTTCTTGGGCACCAGGTGCCCGCCCTGGTCTCCATCCGTCCGTGGCTCTGCTGGTTGGGCGCGCTGCTGCGCCCCCGCCTCTTGCTGTGCCGTTACAGCCAGTGGCTGGGTGCTGGCTGGATCAGTTCCTCCCCAGCTTTGCCTACACCAGCATCAGCAAGCAACATTGCCCGCTTGCCGCCAGCGGGCCTTCGACCACCCCCGCTGCATGCTGCCGCCTGTGGTCACGTGCTCTTTTGAAGTGGACCCGCGCTGGATTGGGACGTTTTCGAAGCAGCCTCTCGCGCCCGCCCCGTATTGTGCTCTTTTTACTTCGTGCGTTGCAGCCCCTGCTTCAGCCCTTTGGTGTGGCCGCGACGCCGCCCCGCGCCCACTGCCAGGTGGTGCAGCAGTGGCTGGCCGCCCTGACCGTTCCGCGGTGACGCACCTCGCCACGTGAATGTTCCTATTCGGTTTTCTCGCTCCGCGGCCGTTGTCGCCTGTTCCCCTTCCCTTTTCCTGTTGCCGGTTCATTTGCACATCTCGTTTCCTTGACCGCCAGGCGCGCGTGCGGATTGCTTTGCCGCGCTGCGGCGTAAAGTCACATGTTGGCATTCGAAGGTTCTAGGAATAGTAGTTGGGTATACAGTCGCAGAGGAACAAGGATGACGAGTAAGGAAGGAGAGGGAAGGTGAGGAGAAGGTGATGCGGTAGAAGAGGAAGAGAAAGGCCCAACATGAACAGAAAGAAAGCATTGATGAGCAGAAGGGCGCCTGGGCTCCTCCCTGCCGGCGACGTGGAGATTCTGAACCTCTCGCTGCTGCTGCCCCTTTAATCTTCCAGGCCAATTTCGCCCAACGAGTTCGATTCGATGTCGGTTCGGGCATGCTCGATCCGATTTGATCCCAGTGCTCCGACGGTCAGGTGCGGTTCATTAGTTGCCTGGCGTTGCTGTACATATTGGCGCAGCCGATCTGGTCCTCGTGCTACTCCGTGCCGATGTAGCCCGATCCGACTCCCGACGCTGACTGATCTGTGGTCTTTCGTGGCGGATTTTTGGGCACGCGGTGGCGCAACTGGCCCGTGCGACGCGTCGTGCCTCCCCGGCGCCGCCTTACTATGCCCTCCTCTTCCACGGCCGGTGTTGTGCAGCCCCATCGCTCGGACATCGGGCCTCTGACCTCACCGCAGTGCTCGGCGCCTCTGCGCGCCGGACGCTCGTAGCCGTGCCGATGTCCCGATTTATTCGGCACGGGCCCCCCGGAAGTTTTTCGACGGCCCCGGGGCCCGGCGACGGCCACCACAGGCCGAGAACGGACAGAACCTTCCGTGGTGATTTTTCCCCGCAGCGAGCACATCTGCCTTCCCCATCCCCCGCGTCTTCGGCGCAGGCGGGGTCGTCCTCTCCCGACGACGTGGTGACCGTTAACCTCTCGTCGCTGGGCGTCGTGGACGTGGCAGGCGACGACCTCTCCTTCTTCAAGGACCTCTGTTCCCTTCCCCCTTCCTCCCGTCCTCCTTCTCCTCTTCTCCTTCTCGTCCTCCACCTCCTCTTCCACCTCCTCCTCCACCTCCTCCTCCTCCTCCTCCGCCTCCCTTCTTATCCCCCCTACTCTTCCAGCCCGTCCATCCTGTTTTTTCGTCGTCGCCGTCATCGTCGTCTTCATCGTGACCGTCATCGTCGTGGTCGTCGTGGTCGTCGTAGTCGTCGTCGTCGTCTTCTTTGTTGCCGTTGTCCTCCTCCTCCTCCTCCTGTTCTCCTCCTCCCTTTGTCCTCCCCAGCCCACCCTCCCCCCCTCTCCCCTCCCCCCTTTTTCCCTTTTTCGCAATGCACCAGGAACATTATGATCCCTCCTCTTCTGAAATTTATCGGACGATCTTCCGCCCCCTCCGCGTTGTTTTGGGTTCACGCAGGATTTCAAACATTGTTTTTGTTTAGAAAAGAGATTGTATTATTACATTGCTTTCGGTATTTAAAACTGATGCTCCCGCTGCAGCGTTGGCCTCATTTTCGGATCGGCGCCTTGCTCCTGTCGTTCAGAATGGCGCTCTCGCCCCAGCGCGGGCCACTTTTCTGGATCCGAGTCTTGCTTCATTGTGGACCCCCTCATCATTTCCCCTCCTCCGCCTTCCCCTGGTCTTCCTGTTTTTCCCGCTCCTTCCACTCCAGTTCCTGCTGCTGCTGCTGCTGTTCAGCTCGCCCGAGCGCGGGCCACTTTTCTGAATCCGAGGCTTTGTCAATCTCTGCTTCCCCCTAATTTTCCCTTCTGCGCTTTCCTCTGAATCTCCTTTCCCGCCCGATCCTTCCGCTGTAATTCCTTCTGCTGTGGTTCGTCCTCATCCTTTTCCTCCCGCTCATCCTCCTGCTCACCCGCCACCTCCTCCTGCTGTGCATGCAGCTCCCGTGTTTCCGATTGCGCATAACACGAGATGGTCTTTCTGTGTGAGTCGCAGGTCGGCTATGACACGCGTCTGCAGATTGTTAGAGAAGAATTCAGCGCCATTGGAAGGGATGGGAGGGAGGGGATAGTATGTCAGATGAGGCGCGAGCGCACCTAGCTTGACCCCCCCCCCCTCTCCCTTCCCCCCCGCGTTCCTCCGTCATCTCCCCCACCCCTGTCTCATCCCCCTCCCCTCTGGCATACTGCATACTCCCACTCCCACCGTTCCTTCCCCCTCCGTCCCTCCTCCCTCTTTCCCCCCCGCCCCTCACCCCCGCCCCTCCTCCCCAAAGAACCTCGACCGCATCGACGCCAGCGACAACCAGCTCAGTTTCGAGCGGGTGCTGGAGGAGTTCGGCCGCGTCCCGCGCCTCGGCTCGCTGAGCCTCGCCTGCAACACCATCAGCCAGCTCAGCCTGCAGCAGGGCACGCTTAGGCCACTGTGGCCGCCCCCCCCCCTCCGGAGGGGCGATGTTCGAGAAGGTTCGATGAGAAGGAGGAGGAGGAGAAGGAGGAGAAGGAGGATGAGGAGGAGGAGGAGAAGGGAGAGGGAGCAGGAGGGACGAATTGGATGAGGATGCTTATTCTACTAATGACGATGGTGATGGCGATGCTGGTGGTGGTCTTGGTCATGGTGATGAAGACGGTGGTGTATGATGGTGGTGGTGACGGCGACGACGACGACGACGACGATGATGATGATGATGATGGTGATGATGATGGTGATGGTGATGGTGATGATGCTGATGCTGATGCTGATGCTGATGCTGATGCCGATGCTGATGCTGTTATTGTTGATGATGATGGTGATGATCATGTTGATGATGATGATGCTGCTGATATGGATGATAATGATGATCATGAGGATTATGATGATGATGGTGATGGCGATCGCAATGACGATGGTGGTGCTGATGATGGTGATGCTGATGCAGACGCTGCTGATGATGACTTTGAGGATGACGACGCCGACGACGATGATGCTGCTGACGATGATGTTGATGATGATGCTGATGAAAAGATGATGGAAATCTGATGATGATGATGATGATGATGATGATGATGATGACGACGATGACGATGCTGATGATGATGATGCTGCTGGTGGTGGTTGTGGGTGATGATGATCAAGAGGAGGAGGAGGAGGAGGAGGAGGAGGAGGAGGAGGAGGAGGAGGAGGAGGAGGAGGGAGGAGGAGGAGGAGGAGGAGGAGGAGCTAGTTGGGGCGGCAACGTTGCGACACAGGGTCTTCTCATGCCAGGCAACATCACAGGGGGCACCTGGACGGGTGCCGGCAGGCATCTCGACCCGAGCTGCACCATCTGCAGGGAGCCGCCAATGAGCCAGGGGCCGTCCCAGGGAAGAGGGGCAATGTGAAGCTTGTGCTTTGCAGTCTTCGGCCGCTCGGGGTCCGCTACAGACGCGGCTCGGGATAGCAGGCAGGCTCAGGGGAGTTACGGTCTGGCCCACCAGGCTTCGGCTTCTCCAGGCGTCGACGTCCCGAGCCTTTCCGAGCCTCCTGCCCCGCGGAGCGGGGCGACACGCTATCCTCTTGCAGGGCATGGCGTGTCGCCCGGGCCGCCGCCGCGACACGCCGAGGAAAAGGTCCGGACTGTGTCCAGGATGTCCAGGGCCCAACTCCCTCGGGATACCCTCGGCTCACCCGGCGGACGAACAGGGACACAGGACAGAGTTGTCCGCCGCTGGGGGTGCCTATCCCAGATTGGCTGGGAGGCTCATGTCCCGAATGGCTCGGGGGCGGCTGAGATGGATATCATGGCCAAGGCCATGGGATCTCCCCTGATTTCATGGCCCCCTTCTCCTTTTTCAGTACGTCCCCTGGTCCCTCCCTCCTTCGCAGTCGTGCCTCGCCGGCGGCCGGGTCCTCTCCTTACGCTCTCCGCCCTCGCGGACACCCCCGCCCCGGGAGCCTCCAGCAGTTCCGCATGATATTCCAACCGCGTGTGTCCCCAGCCTGCTGGATTTTTGAAGACACCCAGCTTGATATTCTCGATCGCAGCCTGATCATTCAGAAACAAGGTGCAGTGCGCTACTGGTAAGGGTGAGTTAGAATTGGCCCACGTGTATGACATGGGCACTGCGCCATTCCGCACGCCCCCACAGCGCACCGACGATGTGGTGCTCACCCTGATGTGCAGGAAGGCGCTTGACAACGCACCACGGAGGAATGGGAAGGCAAGAGGAGAAATATGAGAAAGAGGAAGGGGAGGAGGAGTACGACGATGAGGCCACTTCCCCCTCGGGCCCAGGGGCGCCCAGACACACACCCCGGAGCGCGAACCGATAGCAGCAGTGTAATCCAACAGGTCGTTTCGGCCTGACCACGCCTTCCTCGCCCACTCCCTCCTTTTGATGCCCTTCATTCTTCTGTTACTGGTTGAAGAGCCTTGCAGTGCAATGAGGAAAACGAGGGCGACTAGAAGAGGAGGAGGAGGAGGAGGTGGAGTGGAGGGATAGGAGGAGGAGGAGGAGGAGGAGGAGGAGGAGGAGGAGGAGGAGGAGGAGGAGGAGGAGGATGTTGAGGAGGAAACGGAGAGGACAGCGCAATACAATCCTTTATTTCCAGCAGCCACCTACGATGTGCTTGGCTGTCCGTAGCTATCCATCACAGGCCAATGGTGCACGCTCTGCCATGGCATATCCCAACTGGTCTGTGTTATTCGAGCTGTCTTGGCTATACCAAAGCATTCCCAGCCGGCGCGGGCACGACTCGTGACGTTACCAGGTGGAGGGAATGGTCAGGGCTGGTAACGCCCGCTATCGCGAAAATTAGCTTGGCGAAGGACCCCACAATATGCACTTCTCACTAACGCAGTTGTGAGCACCTTCTTCGGTGGAGTTCCTTATGGGGCCACGAAACGTGTGAGGGGTGTGTCGCGATGGGCGCGGGCGATGACCACCACTGGGACCTTCGTTGGAGTTCCTTATGGAGCCACGCAAGGTGTGAAGGGAGTGCCGGCACGGGTGGGGACACGGGGGTGGGAGCCCACATGCGAACACCGCTGGGGATTTCGGTGGAGCTCCCTGTGGGGCCACAAACGTTTGAGGGGTGTGCCGAAATGGGCGGGGGGGAAGCATGCGAACACCGCCGCTGGGGATTTCGGTGGAGATTTTGGTTGAGCTCCCTATGGGGCTACGAGACGTGTGAGGGGTGCTGTCATGGAGGCGGGGGACGGATGCGAGCACTGCCAGTGGGTCCTTCGGTGGAGCTCCCTATGGGGCCATGAAGTGTGTGAGGGATATGCCGACATGGTTGCGGGGGACGCGTGCGAGCACTGCCACCGGGGCCTTCCGTGGAGCTCCCCATGAGGCCACGAAGCGTGTGATGGGTATGCCGCAATTGGTGCAGGACCCGCGTTCGACTTGGGCCACTGGAGCCTTCGACAGAGGTCCTTATGCGGCCACGAAGCGTGTGAGGGGTGTGCCGTAATGGGTGCGGGGACGCATGCGAACATTTCCATTGGGACTTTCAGTGGAGCTCCGTATGGGTTCACGAAACGTGTGATGTGTGTGCCGACATGGACGCGGGGGAGGAGCATGCGAGCACTGCTGCTGGGGCCTTCGTTGGAGCTCCGTATGGGGCCACGAGACGTGTGAGGGGTATGCCGAACTGTGTGCGGGGGACCCATGCGAGCACCGCCACTAGGGCCTTCGGTGGAGCTCCTTATGGGGCCACGATGCGTGTGAGGTGTGTGTGTCGTATAATGGGTGCGGGGGACGCATGCGAACATTGCCTTTGGGACCTTCAGTGGAGTTCCGTATGAGGCCGCGAAACATGAGAGAGTTGTGCCAAAGTGGGTGCGGGGGACGCGTGCGAGCACTGCCACCGGGGCCTTCGGCGGAGCTCCCTATGGTGCCACGAAGCCTGTGATGGGTATGCCGACATTGGTGCGGGACCCGCGTGCGAGCATTGCCACTTGGGCCTTCGATAGAGGTCCCTATGCGGCCACGAAGCGTGTGAGGGGTGTGCCGTAATGGGTGCGGGGGACGCATGCGAACATTTCCATTGGGACTTTCAGTGGAGCTCCGTATGGGGCCACGAATCGTGTGAGCGATGTGTCGATGGCAGAGGGCAGAGGAGGGAGGAGGACGAGGAGGAGGAGGAGGAGAAGAAGGAAGAGGAAGGCGGAAGGAGCGTGAAGGCGGAAGGACGCGTGGCGTTGTCTCCTCAAAGGAAGGAGCCAACACCACTGGATGGTTCTGATATGAGGAAACATGTTCATATCAATGACAGCGATGACGGCGATAGGGACGACGACGACGACGACGACGGCGACGACGATGACGACGATGACGACGACGACGACGGTGGCGATGCCGACGGCGACGGCGACGGCGACGACGACGGCGACGACAATGCTGACGACGGCGGCGGCGAATGCGACGGCGATGACGGCCATGATGGCGACGTCAATGGCGACAGCGATGACGACGGCAACGGCGACGGCGACGGCGACAGGGCGCATCGCCAGCGGAGTCGAGGGCGCATCCCCCCCGCGCGCAGGCCCCGATCCTTGCTCCGCTGCCCGGGCGCGGGGGGGTCTGCCCGGGCTGCTCCGGCTCGCCTCCCCGTCGCCCGCCTTCAGAAATGCAGCGAAACAGGCGGTGTAGGCCCCCCAAAGGACGTCCGAGCAGATGTGGTCGGAGGATCGCGCCGCATCGCCGACGCGGTGCGGCTCGACATGGAGCCCGATGTTCTCAACGTCGACGTCGCCGGCGCATCGCCGATGTCGACGAAGTATCGCCGATGTATCGGGATGCATCGGCGATGCGGCGCGATTCTCCGACCCCATCAACTCGGACCCATGTGGGAGGCCTCTTAAACGACCCTGATCTCCCCAGATCTGCGATGATTGCTTTGATTCAGTCATTATTTAAGTATTGATTAGTTGTTTTGTAATGTGTTTCTGTGCCGTTTTTGTTTATGGCTTTTATGTATGAATCCGTCGTTTGTTATATTTCGTGCTTTGTTAATTGTTGTTTGCTTGCCTGATTTCAACCTCTAGGGCCCCTTTTTGGGACCCAGGTTCATCAGACATGAGTCTGGGGCGACAGCCTGGCTCCGGGGGCTGAGGACGTCTCGGGCCCCGCCCTCCAAGCATCAGATTCTCGGATGACGAGCTGCTTTTCGGGGAGAGGTCCATCACATATGGAACAAAAACGCTATGAAAACTTTTGGCGCTTCGGGCGGATCTCTTGGATCCGCGCAGGGCCAACCCGGCGGCGCCTCCAGCGCCGCCCCTGGCGCGCTCAGCGCGCCAGGGAGGCGGGTCCAGTGCAGACCCAAAAATTCGCGCGGAGCGCCAAAAGATTGTGTGTGTGTGTTGTTTTCCTGCTCCTGCACTTCCACTTCGGCACCGCCTGCACCCCGGGCTTCGCCCGCTCCGGCCGCCTGAGGCCCCGCCTTCCTGTGCCCTGTCTCCCTAATTAAAGCTGTGCGTAGCCCGCCTAGCCTTTAGCGGAAGAGGTTCGCTCTCGCCCCGCAGATCAAAAAGTGTGTGTGTGTGAGTGTGTGTGAGTGTGTGTGTGTGTGAGTGTGTGTGTGTGTGTGCGTGTTTTTTTTGTTGTTCTTCTGGTCCAGGCCCGTGCATGGAGAGCCCGACGCCGCGAAGAGTCACGACGCCGGACGTCTGGGGAGGTCCGCGCGGACCTCTCGGGTCGGCTCGTGGCCGCCCGCCCCCTCCCATCGGGGGTCCAGCGCAGACCTCGAGGCCTGCGCGGGCGGCTGGGCCCATTGGTCCTTCTTGCAGGCTTCTCTCAGGAGGGAAAGAGACACGCAGACACAACGAATCGTCGACCCCCCAGAAAGCAAGGGAAGATGTGGGAAGTGGGGGGGAGGGCAGACGCCCCGCAGATATGGGGAAACAGGGGGAATCTGTTTATTTGTGTGCATTTATTTGTGTGTGGCCCTGGGCCCCTTCGTTCTCGGTCAGTGGGGGGTGGGGGGTCGCCGCGGTTCCGAGGCAGTTGCGCACCCCGAGCTTTTTTGGAATTTCAGCAGCTGTCCTTCGAGTTCGGAGAGTACTCTTTTGCGCACGGTGAAGTCAAGACATCAGTTCCCCGAGCTCAAGCAACCAGTTCATGGAACTCAAGAGAGCTGTGTGTCGTTTCAGAAACCTGCATGTTAACGCCCTCAAGAGCCAGCGTCGCCGAGGCAGTTGCACACCCTGGACCTTTCCTTCAACGAGTTGCACGGGGACGTCCTGGCACAGCTGGCGGGCCTGCCAGGCCTGACGTTCCTGAACCTGTGCTCCAACTGCGTGTCCTCCGTGCCGCCAGAGGAGGATCTCACCGGGGAGGACTGCAGCGGCTTCCGGTGCCTGGAGGAGCTGATCCTCGACGACAACGACCTGGCCCCCTCCCCTCCTGGCCTCCTCGTCCTCCTCTTCCTCCCCGCCCCCGCCCCGTATCCTCAGCTTGCTCCTGCTTCTCCTGCGTAGATCCCCCTAGAACCCTCCCAGAATCCTTCAGAACCACCGCCGTCCTTATCCCCTATCCCGCTGCTCCTACCCTTTTCAGCCCTCCTTCCTCCGCCTCCTCCCTCCTCCCTCTTCTCCCCACCCCTTCGTTCTCCAATATCCCTTTCCGCTTCCTTGAGGATGCGTAGCTCCCCCTCTTTCCTCCTCCTCCGCCTCCTCCTCCCTCCTCCTCCTCCTCCTCCTCCTCCTCCTCCTCCCTCCTCCTCCTCCTCCTCCTCCTCCTCCCTCCTCCTCCTCCTCCTCCTCCTTCTCCTCCTACTCTTCCCTCCTCCTCCCGTTCCTCGCAGCACAAGACGCGTCGGTAGAGCTGGGCGGGAAGACCTCGCAAGCGACCCTGAGGTTCGACGCTTCCAACAGTTTCGCGGACGGAGGGGGAGTCGTCTTCAACATGTGGTCTCACTTGGGCGCTGCCGACACTCTTCTTCATATTTGGGGTATTTTCCCACCAGTTGTCACGTACTGTTCTGCGGCTCCTTGATTGCTTAGTGCGATGCTTAGTTATGTGAATGGTCGGTTGAATCATCAGGGGATGCACGTACAACGTGTTAAGACATCTGCATTGGCATCCTTGCTTCCGCTTCGCCCTCTTTTTTCACTTGGTTCGCGATGCGTACGAGCTACCAGGCCCAAACCGAGGTATGTTGATGGTTGCGTGGGAAACAACGTACGGACCAGTCACTCGGCTGGAGGGCGGATTGTCTTTGAAGTGTGGCCCTCTCCCTTTTTTGAATCTTTGCACGGCTGGAGGAGATCAGCCTTTTGCCCTAGTCGTCTCGCCGCGCGCGCGCGCTGCCAACGCCTGCGGCAGCGGCGCGGACAGAGGTTGGTGCTGCCTTTCCAGAGCGAGGCCCCCGCTGGATACACGCATGGTGAGGATGGGCAGGCAACCTTCCCAGGGGTCTCCTCGCATTCTGGCCCCCTCGGCCCATCCTGGACCACCTTCGCTGGCCAGCCTCGTTCGAAACACGTTCGCATGGGCCTCCAAGGCCCCTGCAGCCTTGCCGCGCATCCCTACGAGTGCGGGTTCACTGCGCCTCCTCCCGCCTGGCACCACGACGCCGCAGCGCGTGCGGCAGGCGGCAGGCTGCACGAGCGGAAGGCGGCACCCGGCCGAGGTGGGCTCTCGCCCGGCCCGTGCTGAGATCTCCGACAGCTGAGGCCGGCCCCTTGCAGAACGGAGCCGTTGATGGGCCCATTTTCCACCACCATAGGTAGGAGAGGGAAGAGGAGGAGGAGAATCAGGAGGAGGAGGACCTCCTCATGCTCCCTTCTCCCCCGTCCTATATATGTATGTATATATATATACATACATATATATATATATATATATATATATATATGTCGGCGGTGCCCGGTGCGGAGCGAACCCCCCCCCCCGGTAATCTCTCCTGGGGGGTTTCGAGCTGGCGCCATTCCCGGTGCGAGCCTGCACGAACCCCCCCGGTAAACACGACCTCCTCTGGTAGGCTGCACGAACCCCCCCGGTAAGGACGCAACCCCTCCGTAAGCGGCGCGCTCCCGGCACGCGCGAACCCCAGCCTCTCGTATTGTGGCCACGAGCCACAATACGAGAGGCTGCGGCGGAACAAAGGCGAGCAGACGCGAATAGAGAACACAAGGCGAGCACACGCCACACTTCGACAGGGAGCCACCCTTCCCAACCGCCCCCCTGCCCCCCCCCCCCAACCCACCCCCCACTCCCACCCCCCACTCCCACAGGGGGGGGGGGAGCCCAGGTAGACGCAGTGCGGCCTGCACGAACCCCCCCGGTAAAGCGACAGGGGAGGACCCAATGCGGCCTGCACGAACCCCCCTGGTAAAGCGGCAAGGGGGGGGTGTTCTAAGCCGCTGGCGGCACCCGGTGCGGGCTGCACGAACCCCCCCGGTAGTGCTAGGTGGGGGGGGGTTCGTGCCACGGCGCACCGCCAACATATATATATATATATATATATATATATATGGTGGTGGTGGTGGTGGTGGTGGTGGTGGTGGTGGTGGTGGTGGTGGAAAATTTGCCCATCAGCCGTCGCCCACCTGCAGGGTACACGGGGCGCCTTTGTCCGTCAAGGGGGCGCTCCCCGCAGGTGAGACTTGACTCTCTGCAGGGGCTCGCCAGGAGGGGGCCTAAGGGACGGGAAGGCTCAGAAGGAAAGGAACACACAGACACAATTAATCGTCGATTCCCCAGGAAATATAAGAAAATATGGGAAGTGGGGGGGAAGACGAAAACCTAGAAAATATGGGAAAATCTGGGGAATCCTGTCATTTGTGTGTATTATTAACTTATTTGTGTGTCCCAGGGCCCCTTCAAACTTGATTCTCTGCAGGGGCTCGCCAGGAAGGGGGCCCAGGGACGGGAAGGCGTGCTGCAGCGCCGTTGACGAGTCCTGGCGTTGCGCTGGCCCCCCTCTCCCTCCCCCCTCCCTCCTAGACGCCTGGCGTCGCGTTTTTCTTTTGCGCAGCCTGGCTCCCCAGGGGCTTCGCTTCCCTCCCGGCCTCCCGGGGACCGTACACGACAGCACCAGGGCCCGGCAGGGGCTCGCGGCGGCCCAGCGAGGCCAAGCACCCCGCGCATCGCGACGTCTTCGCGACGCGGGGAGGTCGGGGCTCTGCCCGCCCCCGCCATCGCCCCCTCCCGCCTGCTGCGGGCAGTATCTTTATGAGGAAAATCCTGGAGGCCTCGCGCGGCGCATAATAGTTTCGGGTATGGCCAGGACCCTGGGTAAGGGGACCCGGTTAGTGGTAGGGACCTAGAGCCTTCGAATTGGCCAGAATCACTAAACCAGGTTTGCCATAGCTGGTGTTTTTTTCGGGTGACGGCAGTTCCAGTTAGTGGAAATGGGACGGGGGGGCCCCCCGGTACAGATCACTAAACCAGGTTCCACTAAACCCAGTTCTACCAACGCCCGATGGTTGTATTATCAAATGCACAAGTCAGCTCCGTAAGTTCTGGGTCGATGCTCGCGCGGCGATGGTCCGTCGTCAGTCTGGCGTAAATCCGACGTGATTCCGATGATGTCCGACGTGAAACCGACGTAAATCCGACGTGGATCCGACGTCAATCGGGTCTCAAGTGGCCGCACGAGGCCTCCAAGATTTTCCTCATTAATATTGATCAATGTCCACAGCGTCTTGGACTTTTCTGGGAGGGGGCGCCAGGAGGACGAGGCGCAGTGGATCTGGACGAGCATCTGGCCTCGAGGGGCCAGAGGTCAGATGTTTAACCATTCCCACGGCGCTGCTGGTCTCTGGGGAGGGGGCACCGAGGCTCAAGGCGCAGTGGATACGGGTACTCCTCTTGCCCGCACCTGCTTCTCCTTTCTCCCCCTCCTCCTCCTCCTCCTCCTCCTCCTCCTCCCCCTCCTCCTCCTCCTCCTCCTCCTCCTCCTCCTCCTCCTCCTCCTCCTCCTCCTCCTCCTCCTCCTCCTCCTCCCCCTCGGTCCAATTCATCCAGTGGCGTGCGCTGGACGCGCTGCCGCGTCTGCGCAAGCTGTCCCTGGCCTCGAACAGGGTGAAGCGCCTCAAGGACGACGTGCCCGACAAGCCCGAGGGCGACTTCACGTACTTCCCTGTCCTGGAGGAGCTCGTCGGGGACCACGTAATGCCATTCTCCGCGCAGAGCTCCGAACGATGACGCGTATGCCACCATTTGTTTCCCGAGCTTGGCCTGTGCTTCTGCCTCGTCGTCGTCAGCGCAGTCGTCCTCTTCCTCCTCACCTTTCCGCCTTCGTGCCTCGCTCCCTCCTCCCCCTCCCTCGTCCTCATTCCTACCTCCCAACTCGTCCACTCCTCCCCCTCCCTCTTCAGCATCCCTCTTTCTGCTCTCCCTTCCCTCCCTCCCGCCCCCTCCCATCTCCCGCATCCCTATCTCCTAACTCATCCACTCTCTCTCTCTCTCTCCTCCAGATTGGTTCCTGCATGCCTGGCCCTAGCCCGTGTTCGACGCCGGGCTCTGGCGCAGGCATCGGCGCATGTCCCAGGGCTAGACAGGTCGCTCGTGAGTCGAGGGAGTCGGCAGCTCGGCATGTGGCGGTAGAGCACCCTCCTGCAGCAACCTCCTCCTCCTCCTCCTTCTCCTCCTCCTCATCATCATCGGAGCCCGCCTTGTTGGCGGCAGCACGAGGCCACCTGTCGGTTCCTCGTGGCGGTCGCCTCCTCGCGCCCGTCCCCGGGTGCTTCTTGGTTATCCTCGGCGGCGAGCGAGGGGCGGAAGTGAGAAGGGAGGAGCCTTCTCACAAGGCGGCGGGACTTCTCAGAGGCCCTCCGGCCTTCTGGGAAGTATGTTGCGTCTGCGGGGAATACTCAGAAACCTTCTCGGAAGGATAGGGGGCTTCCAAGCCTTCTGGGAAGGCCTTCTCCTTCTCACTTCCCCCCCCCCCCCGGCTCGCGGCCGATCTCCTTTCCCACGCGCCTCAACACCAGCAGCCGCGGCCGAGATGGCAGATGCGACGCCTGGCGCCCGCCGCCCTCGGGCCCCAGCGAGTCCATGCCTCAATCCTCGCCAGGCCCCTCTTCCGCGAGGACCTGCCCCCCCCCCCCTCTCTCCCTTCCCCCGAGGCGTGAGGGCCCGGGGCGCCACAATCCTCGCCAGGCCCCTCTTCCGCGGCGACCTGCCCCCCTCTCTCCCTTCCTCCGAGGCGTCAGGGCCCGGGTCCCTGACGTGCCCCTCCCTGCCCACCAGGAGACGTCCGCTCGCCGGTCTCTGCGCGGGGCCCGTCGTGGGCCTGGGCCCACGCCGCAGCGCTGGGGGGAGAGTGGCGTCAGGTCGTCCGCCCGTCGTCGGGCAGCAGCGGTGCCTCCTTGGCTGTGAAGGCGGCTTCGGCCTGCTTCCCCTCCTCTCCCGTCCCCGCTCCTTCCTCCCTGCCTGCCCCCTCTCACGCCTTGGCCTCGGACTCTTCTCTGGCTACGATGGGTCGTTCTCGCGAGCCGAGGCCCATTGCTTCTAACTTCTGGGGATGAAATTCTTACCGCGCCCGTAAGGCTCATGATTCATGATGCACCCCCCTCCTCGCGCCTCGCTCGCTCGCCCCTCCTCCGCCCTCGAAGGAGCTCAACCTGGCCTCGAACGAGATCGGCAGCCTGGACAGCCTGCCCGCGCTCGAGCTCTTCCGGTCGCTGCGGGTCCTGTGCGTGGACGAGAACCCTTGCGCCAGAGGACCCGCGAGGAGGAGGAGGAGGAGGAGGAGGAGGAGGAGGAGGAGGAGGTGCGTGTGTGTGTGTGTGTGTGTGTGTGTGTGTGTGTGTGTGTGTGTGTGTGTGTGTGCGCGCGTTGCATGGTCGTGCATGTCTTGCCCCTCTCCCCTCCCGCCGTGCTTGGCCGTGCTGGTTTGTGAGCGTGCCGAAGCGTCGAGTCGAGACGGCTCGGTAGCACCACGGTCTTGGCAGCGACCGCCGATCGCTTGTCGCCCCTGCAGGACTGGTCTCTCTAATCGTTGGGAGTGTGTCTAAGTGGACGGTTGGCTGGATCCGTTCGCTTCGCTCTCTCTCTCTCTCTCTCTCTCTCTCTTCATTTCGCCTTTTCTTGTGCATGAGCGAACTGTTGAGGATAGTGCGGTTTCGGGCAACAGGGCGAGGATGAGGAGGAGGAGGAGGAATAAGAGAAGGAGGAGGTTGTCGTTGCCGCAGGCTGACCTTGCCTGTAGTCGTGTGGCGCTGGCGGGAGGGTGGTCACATGTTGTGCATCCTTTTTGCTTGGCTGGGAGCAAGGTCAGGTATGTCACCTGCGCCGTCTGTGGCGGTGCAGGCTCTAACCTTGCTCTGTCTTCCGCTTGCGCTGGCAGACCCGTTCGCGACTCCTGGGAGCGCGTGTGTTGGCAAATCTCGCACGCTGTCGATACCAGGTGAACGCGCAATGGTCTGCTCTCGATCGGCCGTGGCCAACTCGAGATCTCGTGAGTGCGGGGGAGACCAGTCTCCCCACTTCTGCGCTGCCTGCCAGCAGCGCGTCAGGCGACAGCGGCGCGGTGAGTTCTCCCGTCCCTCGTTTGTCTGATACTCCCACTCGACGAGTCATTCTTCCGCGTCTGAGTGCCCTCCTCCTCCTCCTCCTCCTCCTCGTCCTCTGCCTCTCTCCTCCCCCCTTTTCCTCCCCCTGCATACCCGCCTTTCTCTTGAAACGTACTTCGTCCGTCCGTCCACCTGTCAGCAGAGGACCCGTGGCGCTTCCACCGAGCTTGAGGGGGCTCACTGTCAAGTCCCACGCGAGTGCGCCGTGGTACCTCCAGCGGGGGAATCCCGTGGCGAAGCTTGGGAAGGACCTCCCCGTCGTCGCCGCCGTCGCCGCCGCCGCCGCCGCCGTCGTCGTCGTCGTCGTCGTCGTCGTCGTCGTCGTCGTCGCTGTCGTCGTCGTCGTCGTCGTCGTCGTCGTTGTTGGCGGCGGCGGCGGCGGCGTCGCCGTCTATATTGTTGCTGTCGTCGTTCTGCTCATCGTTTTCCATCGCCATCCTCTCTCTTTTCCTGCTGCTGCTGCTGCTGCTGCTTCTCCTCCTCGGCTTCATCCTCGCTTAGGCCATTCCTCGTCATCACGCCTCTGCTCTTGCTCCCCTCCCCCTCCTCTTCTTCTCTTGCCCTTCTGCCATGCAGCCTGTTCCTTCTCCTGCGCCTCCCTCCTTGGACCCCCCTTTCCTCCTCCTTGGACCCCTTCCTCCTCCTCCTCCTCCTCCTCCTCCTCCTCCTCCTCCTCCTCCTCCTTCTCTTCCTCCTGCGCCTCCGTCTCATCCTCCATCGCCTCGTGGTTCTCGCCACTTACCTTTGCCCACCTTCTCCCCAGGACACCCTGAAGCAACCGAAACTACATGTTTATAGTATCTCCCCACCCCGCCTTCCCGCAGGGCCAGTTTGATCCGATCGATCCGATTCGATATCGGCTTTGGCTAGCTCGACCCGATTCGATTACGACATTTCCGACGATCCGATGCGGCCCGATATTTGCATGATTCGATGACGATCCCGTGCCAGTGCAGCGCGATCCGACGCACGTTTCGGTTCGATCCGATTTCCTGATTCGATGCTGACTGGTCATGCCCCTGCCCTCATCTCTCCACCTTCTTCCCTTCGTTGTCTGCGTCGTTCTCCTCCCCGTTCTCGACCTCATCCTTCCCGTCCTCGCCGTAATCCTAGTCGGTGCTTGCCTGGGCAAGTCCGTGGATTCTTTATCCTCTCCGGCTTGGGGTCTTGACACGGGTGTCCCCCGTTCGTTCGGCCCCACGCCCCAGGGTTTTGCCATTGGGGGCCCCGCTGCTGAACCAAAATTCTCCTCGCCTGACCCTCCCAGGCGAAGAGCAAGGGTCCGAAGGACACGCTCAGCAGGCACACCTTGAAGAAGGTCCGCGACGACACGGACCTCAAGGCGCGGGGGAAGCGGGAACCGCACGGCGGAATCGCGCCGCCTCGCCGCGGCGGCGACCTCCAGCGCGGGCTCGCAAGGTTGAACGCCGCCCGTGGCCTGGAATCGGTCGACATCGAAGTATCTGCGCTTGCGGGCAGCCGCGATCGATCAAGGTTGGACACGGCCAGTGGCCTGGAGCCGGTCGATATCAAAAGACCTGCGCATTCGGAAAGCCGCGATCGCTTAAGGTTCAAGGACCCTCACAGGGGTTATAAACCAGCGCCGACGTCATCACGCCGCGAACCTGCCACACCGCTGCTACGCCGTTCCCCAAACCTCTCACGCCCTGCGCTCTGACCAAGACTGACGCGAATGTCGGGGGCGTGGGAGAAGAGAATGGTGCGGATTACCGGCATCACCCAAGCACACCAGTGTGTGCGTCGCCCCTGGGGTACCTTGCAGTGCTCTGTGGCCGGCGATTGCTGGCCATGCCACCCGGGTAACTACATACGCAGCACCCCGTAGTTGCGGATACGATTGAGGGGGCGGGCGCGGGGTCGGCCGCGGGGGTGTCGCGGGTGGGTCGCGAGGTGGGTCGCGGGGTGGGCGGGTCGCGGGCGGGTCGCGGGGTGGATAGCGGGGTGGGTCGCGGGGCGGGTCGCTGGGCGGGTCGCGGGAGGGACGACGACAACAGCCACAACAACGCAACAGGTCAAGAACGCAACAACAGTCCGCACCACGGAACCCCACTTCAGCTACGCCACCGCGGAATCCGCCGGCAGACTGTGAACGACTTTTCTGTCACCCCGCTCTCTCATCGAATTTTGCTTGAACCATATGTTCGGTTCCGACGTGCGCTTCCGACGGGGGTGCACGCACCTTTTGCAAGACGATTTCGCCACCACGGTCTCCCTTCGTCTTGGCATCGACGTCATGGATGGGAACGTCCCGTGCCCGCCGTGCGGGGAGCTATTGGATTCGGGCGGCCTGCACGCGCTGTCGTGCATGTCTGGGGGGGGCGCCACGGCCCAGCACAAGGTCGTGCGAGACGTGCACTTCGATTTCTGCGAGCGGGCGGGACTCCGTTCACCGAGCAAAGCACCCCGCGTGCTGCAGGCAGTGCTCGGGAGGGACAGCCGGCGAAGGCCGGCACACGTATTGTGCATCCCAGCGCTGGCGTTATCCAGGCGCCTCCCGGACGGCTCGCGCGCGATCCGGACAGAGCCAGTCTGTTTTGATTTCACAGCCATCGGGCCATTGGCAAGAGACAACTGCAGGGGCCGGCGCGGCAGCAGAGAAGTACGACCAGAGGAAGCGCACCGACCAGAACACGGAGCAGCAGTGCATGGCAGCCGGCTGCCGGTTCTCTCCCGTCGTCCACGAGACGCAGGGCGGAATGGCCATGACCGCCAGCGCCGCGGTCCGGGCCATCGCGGCGGCGGTGGGCGCCATGGAGCGCTGGGAGCCATCTGGAGAGAACAGTTTTCCCGCGTGGCAGCGGTGAGATGCCGCTGCAAGGCGCGGGCCATCAAGAAGAGGGCAGCGCCGAAGCTGGCGCCCGGCGGGCCGCTGGCGGTCTGGCAGGTCCTCCTGGAAACGCACGCGCAGGACGGTGTGTGCGCGGACCGACCGTCCAGCCTTCCCCACCCTCTCCCGCTCCTCTTTCCTTCTATTCTGATGCAGTGACATAGTGCAGCGCCCAGCCACGGGATGCCGGGCGTGTTGGGAGCGTGAAGGGAGCGCCGGAGTCGTTGTCCAAGGCCGAACGCCTGGCTTCGGCAAGATGTCCTGTAGAACCTGGCCTTGTTCGCCGAGTCTGGAACGAGGCCGTTGATGGTCTTGGACCTTGCCGAGGAGGTCTTCGGGTGCGCGTCTTCTGCGCGCAGAAGGTTTTGCACGAGGATGCCATTGGACGTGTCCTCGCTTCGAGTGAGTGCAGGCCTGCCAGAGGCAGCAGTTTGCGCCAACCGCTCCCTCGATCCCTGCTTCGCCGCGGGGTGGCAACGCGCGCCTCGTCACATTCGTCGACGCTGGTATGGCCGCGATGCGTGCTGCCCTGCTCGGGATTCGTTTCTATCGCGCACTGAGTCCTGAGCTACGGGACTATTGGACGTTTCTCCTTCATCGGTGGATCAAAGATGGGGGTTTTGAGGGGTCGTGGCCCAAGCATAGGAAGGGATCCAAACGTGGATCTGCGTCGTTTGAGGCTCCTTGTCCGTAGGACCCTATCCTTCAGGGGCCCATCTTTGAGCCGCCGACTTCTGAGTTCCAGACTAATTAGGCCCAGGGCCGCCTCTGCCCCCATGGGGGGGGCCCAGGGCCCGAAGTGCGAGCGACCCGGCGCTTGCCGCGACCCCCCCCCCGCGCCTTCGCGCGCCCGACCAACGCAACTCGTGGGCGTACGACGTGGATTGGCGACTACAAAGCGCATGGTTACGCTGGTGTGTGGTTTGCGATCGGCGCCGTTGGGGCCTGGGGAACACGGCGCCATCCTCGTCGGGCCTCTTCGGGGCGCGGCGGCGAGCTCTGTCGAGGTCTCCCCGCCCGCCGTCCAGGGTGCCTCCAGGGCGCCACTTGCAAACCGCACTCTTTACAAACCGCAAGCCACACCTTTCGGAGTCGCCGAGTGGATTACAAACAAAAAGCTGAAATAAGGACCACCTTGGGCCGGGGAGGAGCTTTAGATTCATCGAGAACAAAAGGACCTCTAACCCTGATAGCGCGATGAAGACATGGCCTCACTGAGACCCCCGTCTTTGCATTAGGGATAACGATCTGGACGGTCTGGTTCGATACATCTGCAGGCAAGACCCCCTATCCTTAATGTTTTTGGCCCTCCTAACTCAGGTCCCCTTCCAAACGGTTCGGGGTCCTGTTTGGGTCACTCATAGTTTTTGGAGCGTTCCTTGGGGTCTCGGAGACGAGGGGCGGAGGAGGGGAGGGAGGGGGATGGGGGGAGGTGGAAGAAGGGGCCCAATAGAGGAAGCGATGCCGAAACCGCAACCCTTCCCCCCGTCGCCGCGGCTGGATTCGTGCCCAAATCTTGGTCAGAATGCGCATCTCGAGAGGTCTAGGGAGTAGCCGTACCTGTACCTTTTTGTCTTCTCAAGGATGGTGATGATGATGCTGATGATGGTGATGGTGATGGTGATGGTGATGATGGTGATGATGATGCTGGTGTTGGTGATGGTGATGGTGCTGATGATGATGCTGATGAGGCTGATGATGCTGATGATGCTGATGATGGTGATGGTGATGATGATGATGCTGCTGATGCTGCTGATGATGAGGATGGTGATGATGATGATGATGGTGGTGGTGGCGGTGATGGTGATGGTGCTGATGCTGACGATGATGTTACTGATGATGAAGATACTGATGCTGAAGATGATGGTACTGATGATTATGATGATGACGACGATGATGATGAGGATGCTGCTGCTGATGATGATGCTGATGATGATGATGATGATGATGAGGATGATGATGATGATGATGATGATGATGATGATGATGATGATGATGATGCTGATGATGATGACGATGCTGATGATGCTGATGATGCTGATGACGATCATGATGAAGATAATGAAAGGAGCAGGAAGAGTAGGAGGAGGAGCAGGAGGAGGAGGAGGAGGAGGAGGAGGAGGAGGAGGAGGGGAGGAGGAAGAGGGGGAGGAGGAGAGGAGGAGGTGGAAGAGGAGGAGGAAGAGGAGGGGGAGGAGAGGAGGAGGTGGAAGAGGAGAAGGAGGAGGACGAGGAGGAGGAGTTGGAAATGATTTTGGGTATCACAGCCCGCCCTTCTTTCTTTCGTGCGTCCCTGGCCCCCCCGCCTCCCTCCGCCCGCGTGCGTCCTTGGTCTCCGACGATCTGATGTTTTCAATCCCGCAGTTGTTCCTCGACTTCTGCCTCTGGGGCCTGCGTTCGACCATCTGGGGCCGCCAAGAACGGTTCTGGCACGTACAACGATTCCTGGGGAAGGGGTCGGGAGTTCTGGGGCAGCGGATTGAAAGCATCAGATTGGCGGATGTCAGCGACCACTGCCTGGGGGATCGATCTTCGGGGACCTCGGCAGGCGGTGGATATTGACATGTTTTGGCCTCAGAGGGCCCCCACATATCCACATCCGCCGCCCCCTGGGGCCCCAGTAAATCGATTCCCCAGGCGGCGGATGTGAAAACAAACCCGCCTCGGGACGCCACCCAAAACGTGAAGGCGATGGCCGTACAGGGCTGCATAGTGCAGCATTGGCCTTCACTGCTTCGCGATCGCTTGTCGCTTGGATCGTGATGCGAGCGGCACGCGCGCGAGTTAACATAACAGAAGCAGCACCGACACATGTTGATGTTGTGATGGGGAACAACTTATTATGCGAAGGCGAGGAAGGGCCACCTGCCGATGCCTGCACGCGGCCCCGGCTTCGCGATCTCTTGTCGCTTGGCTCGTGATGCGAACAACACGCACACGTGCGAGCTAGCAGAAGTAGTATCGCAGCAGATTGATCTTGCCCAGGTAACACCCAATAAAGGGCGAATGCGAGGGAGGGGCACCTGCCGATGACTGCACGGCGCCCGCTCCACTCCGACAGGCGGGCACCCGGAGGCGGGGCGTGGGGCAGCTCGCGGTGCTCGACGCGGAGGAGAACGAGCTCGTCGTGGCGGAGTTGGCCAGCGGTTGGCGGAGGATGTCCGGGACAACTGTGCAGACCCCTCTTTTCGGATCGGTGCGATTGAAGTGGGTACGGGAAGAACGGGTACGAAGACCAACAGCTTCTCCGGTTCAGCTTCGCCCTTCGCCTCCCAGAGACTTTCGTTCGGTCTGATATTCGAGCTGCGACCGACAACTACTTTCACACTGCAACTACTTTGCTGCATTGCGCCGTCTTTTTTGAGATGTAGAGCTGAGCCGCTACAAAACTCGTGGCTGAAGAAGCCGACAGGGCTCGCCCTCGGTCCCGCCGCGGCCGTCGCTCGTGTGAGGCAGAAGGCCGCCGGCCCATCAGCGGCCGCTGTCGGTTTGGGACAGCCTTTGTGGTTGGGCATCGTGCCGATTTTCGTCCGTACCCAGTTCGGGCATCCAGAGGAGAGGCGACACCACCACCACCACTACCCACCCACCCACCCACCCACCCACCCAACCACCCACCCACCCA